TGCGTCTTTTGGTCTCTGTCCTTTGGCGCAAGTGGTGTTTCTGGACTTGCATAAAAATAAGGTGTTAAACTGTAACTGTGAGTCCTAAAGAGTGTAGTAAAAGGCAATTTTCAATGAAATTGAAAGGAGAAATTATAACAACGCACGAGGAGGGTGTACAGGCAGTGAATGGGCATGACAATTTACTTGTTCCCACTCACACCATTGGCAAATGCTAAGTGATTTTGAAACAACCTTGTCCAATTCTTAGTTATTTTACATTTTATCTTTTTAAGGTCAATAAAAACAAAATTTAGTATTTTTGTTGTTTTATCATATTAACAGTAGCCGTAGAGAAGCTTGGTGATGCACTGAAATTTTCAAATTATGCCCCCTCAGGACGAATCTTGCCATATCAAGATGCCTCTGGGTTCACATGTTGCTATTTCCAATATACCGTTGCTTCTGTAGAAGGGATTAGCGCCAGAGAGCAGAGTCCTACGGTTGTATTCTCTTACCAAGGGCCTCTGAGGGCCAGGAATTGAGCTAAGTGGCCTTATCCCGGGAAGAGACATCATTATTGTCCACTATTATTACTGTAAGTGATCATCGTTATTGTCAGCGGAGGACACTGAGGCCCAGGAATGAAAAATGCCTGCTTGCAAGTGACACAGCTAGAATGGGAAATGGCTCCAAACTCAGTTCTGTCTGTCTACACCCCTTGTCTCGGCACTTCTAATTCAACAGGCTTATTTAACAGGTGGGGAAACAGGGTCCACGAGGATCCCCCAACCCCACTGCAGGGTCACTGGGTGGGCTGAGGGTGTCCTGTTACTAGAAACCACATCTTGTGGGTCAGACTTTCCAGGGAGCTTTCTTTCTGTGACACCCTGATGCTAGTGAACGCTGAGCCTGGACAGCCAGGGAGACGCTGGGCGGTTAGGAGATGTCACACACCAAAGACAGCGATGGAAACAGCTCTTCTTCCTTCAACTATGATGGAGGACGTGGGGGACTGGCAGCCCTGGACACCCTCACTGCTGAGCTGTGGCTCACCGCCAGGGCTCCTCCGGTGGCATTGGGGGGACTGGGCCCCCCGGAGCGCTGCAGATTACCCCGGGGTGGGGGCTGGCTGGGGAAGGATGCTGTGACGTGACCAAGCAGTCATCCTGAGCCAGTCAGATGGCGCCAGCTGTCACTGGTGAGGTCGGCAGGACAGGGACCCTGCAATGGAAACTCCCCAAATGAGCCTGGGGAAGCTCCACTCACCCACCTCCTGCTTGTTTATTTGTTCCCTGGGCTGTATCCGCGCCAGGATTTGGGTGTTGTAACGACTGAAGATTTGGGATCCAAGAGAGCCAGGCTGGGGCATAGTAGGGAGCTGAGCTGGGAGACAAGACATCATCACAGTCCAGAGCCATCTCCCCTCCACCACCCACAGCTGCCACGAACAAGTCAGCTGTTTACCAAACTGGAAGAAGAAGAAGAATGCATAGAAAGGAAGGTGATGATGCATCCCGCCCCAGTTCTGGCTGGTGGTTTGAAGTCCCCTGGCACACTGGGGGAGAACCACCCCTTCCTCTGGAAGCTCCTGCGAGGACTCCATTGAGAAAAGGAGGCAAAAAGCCACATTTTATGCCTCTCAGTTCGTGGCTTCTCAGCGGCCCTGTGGTGGTACGGGTGTCCCCAGCTGACCCCACGCCACCCCCAGCTGCTACCTTCAAGGCTGAGCCAGCTGTGCTGGGGCTAAGGTGTGAGGCCCCAGGCATTCCACAGCAGAGGACCTGGGCCCGGAAGCCTGACCCCTGCTGCCCGGGCCACCTTGCTCTGCCCTAAGTGACTGAACCAGACCTCCTCTGTAAGATGCAATTTACAGGACTGTTGAGAAAATTCCATGTAACCTTAGCACTCGCAAAACACAGCACGTGGGAAATGCCTAACACTCGGACTGGCACCTACTGTACTCAAGACATATTGCCACCAACGCCCTTACCTGGCCCTGGGCAGCTACAGAGGAGGAGGAAGGACAGCCCGAAACCCTGCTCTCAGGGAGAGGACAGCGGGGCGAGCTTGCCGGAGACCGGGCATGCCTCCATCGCCCATCTGACCCTGTCCTCAAACGTCTGCAAGCGTACAAGGATTAATTCCCCATGTAGGCTGTGGATGGGGAGATGAAGACCCAAGGGGGCAGTGCTACAGAAGTGGGGGGTGGGTAGAGGGAGGGGGTGTGCCCAGGGCTGCGACTTGAAAAACAATTGAGCAGATTCCAGGAGTCTGGATTCCTCCAGGTGAAGCTGGCTCCAGAGGTGTGGCCGGGGCTGGGCCGGAGTGATTCAGGTAAGAGTCACCTCCAGATTTCCAAAGAGCGGGTGGGACCCAGAGAGGTTGAGGCCTCTCCTGGTTCCAGCTTGGGTTTCCGGGCAGGATGCCAGGAAGCCATGTAATCAGTGAGGAGCTGAGGTTTGGGGGCTGCAGAGAGAGAATCACCCCCACCCAAGTCACTAGTGTGTACAGGAAAGGAGGCTTTGCTGCCTTAGCTGGCTCAGGGCCTGGGATGAAGCTGGGTCCTACACTGAGGCGACGCTGGCCACTGTGCCCGGCTGGGAAAGGCAGGGAAACTGAGGCAGGGTCCTGGCACTTCCAGCGGTTGTCACAGCAGATGGATGGGCTGCAGCGGCTGTGATGAGCCTGGCCCTGGCCGCTCACTCACTCAGAGAAAGCCTGTATTTTTCCATGCATTCAGCCACTCACACAATCATTTCTCTATTCAGTGAACCATCTTCTGGATGTCAATGCCAGATCTTGGCTTGGCCCTGGGGGACAAGAGTGATCCAGACTTCGTGGCCCAATAAGGGACAGAGGGACAAGCCACCCAATGTGCTGCCTGCAGAGCAGGGAAGCACCCGAGTCTTCTCTCTCCAAGCAGGAGGAGGAGGAGCGTCAGGCTGCCCAGGGGACACTGCAGCTCGGCCTGGCCCACCAGGCAGGACCACCAGCCTGAGGACCAGGAAGCCCGCCGGATGCTGGAGCTCTAGGCCTTGGGGTGGGGTTGGGGGCAAGGTGACTGGTGCCATGTTACGTTCCCAGGCCCAGGGCTAGCTGGGCCCTTTCCCCTGTGCACCAACTAGTGGACCCAGCAGATGGCAAACGGAGCCCACACTTGAGCTCCACCTCTCCAGCTTCTTCCCACCGTCAGGCCAGGAGCCAGAGGTCCTGCAAAGGCCTTTCCCTGAAACTACCATCAGTCAGTTGCCAGGCTCAGCCCTTGTGCTGCCATTAGTCTGGCCTTCCTTGCCCCCATCCCTGGAGGACAACTCAAATGGGAACCTGAGGCCATGAGGGCTGCTAGGATCTGTCCAAAGCCAAAGACCAGTGGAGCACTGAGACTTTACCCCATGGGGCTCCCAACACCAGGGCCTTTGAATTCAGATGGGTGGCTTAGGGGAAGGGCAGGTGGGGAAAGCTGGGTCCAGGGCCTGAAGGGAGGGCGGGCCTGGGAAGGACGAAGAGGCTGTCTTCCAACGCTTCAAGCCTTTTTTTTTCTTCTTCGGATAACTGGGGCCCATATCTGCATCTTGATCCCAATTTTTGGCTGGTGACTGGTGACATGCTTCTCTTGTCCCTGTCTGGGTGGTGATGGGGGACCCTTCCCCTGGGGAGGGGAGAGGCTGATGCCTGGCGCAGCACTCCAGGCCTGGGGCCGTCCACCTGCCCGCTCCCTCCCAGGTCTGCCCTGGCTTGCTATCTCCCTGGGGCAGCTGGCTTGGGTCCCAGTGGAGCATGGGAGCAGCTAGGGTGGGGACTTAGGAGGGGCTCACTCTCACCTCTCCTACCTGGCAGGGTTCCCACACCCCAAAGGGGCTGGGGAGCCAGTTCTGTGTTCCTGCCAGAATTCCCCCCATACAGGCCCAAAGGATGTGAGCGCTGGGGAAATCGAGGGCGAAAACCTGTGGGTGTGAGCGCCAGGGACTCTGGGCCTGGGGCCACCCTCCCCCTAGGGTCCATTTTCCATCTGTGAAAGAGAGGACTGGACTCAGTCAAGACTGCAGCAGGTAGATGGGAAATCAGCTACAGCAGCCAGCCCTGGAATCCAAATCAAGTGATCCTGGAAGACTGGGCTGGGAAGTGTGATGTGAGTGACAGGGTGCAGGGGGAAGACGAATACCTGGCGGGTGCAATATGAATAATCCCAAACAAGCCCTAGACACTTGACTGAGGCCACCAGAGGATGAGGAGGGGGAGTAGAGTCCCCCAGTCTGGGGTGGGGGACTGAGGGTAACCTTGTGTTGGGTGTGCTGTGGTGACCCACACCTGAATAGGTGAGACCTGTACCCCTAAATTATATAGCTTTGTAACTATATCAATTAAAAAAAAAAGGGAGAACAATGCATCCTGATATCGGAGCACCTACTATGTGCTGGGCGATTTGTGTGCAATCTTTTAACAGCTCTCTGCAGTGGGTCTTGTTATTATCCCCACTGCATAGACGCGGGCCCAGAGAAGGTACTGGGTCCGAGGTGACACGCCCATAAACTGTAGAGTCTGGAGATTCGAACTCAGGTCTAACCTTCTGCCAGGGACTTGCAGAGAAGGGGGTGGGGTAGAACCCTCTGACATCTAAGGTTTGCTCTGCCTAGTTTCTCGCTTTCCCAGCCCCCTTTCCTCAGGCTGCAGTTCTGCGGAGTTCCTAGCCTGAGAGCCTCAGTCCAGCGACCCACGGCGGGGGAGGGGGGCGCTTCGCCCCTCAGTAGAGCCAGGAGGGACGGATGGGGGGCGGGAGTGGGTAGGGGAGGCGGGGGAGAGGGGGAGGGAGACAGCGGGTGGGGGGGGAGGCGGGGCGGGGCCGTTTCCCAGGCGGAGTCACAGGCGCCTGGTGCCCAAGTCTGTAACTCGCACCCGCCAGTCGTCGGCCACCATGAGCCGTGAGTCCGGCCCGGGGTGCACACCCTTCCGCCCCCAGCCCCAGCCCCGAACCGTCTCCCCCGGAGTCTTGAACGCCAGGCTCAGCCCTTCATCTCTCTCCTGCAGGAAGGAGCCTCTCGCTTCGGTTCCCGCTGCTCCTGCTGTTGCTGCTGCCGCCGCCCGCGGCCATTCCCGCGGACCCCGGGGCGCCCTCGCTGGGTAGGCGACCCCCCCTCGCCCTCAGGGAGCTCCGGCCCGTGCGGCTGGCCTCCCCTTCTCCCCCCGGACCGCCCCCCCCATCCAGCTCTGGCGGGCTCAGCCCAGCTTCCCCCTTTCTGCTAGCGGGTCTGGGGGGAGGGAGAGGGCAGGTCGGTGGGTGGGGTGGGGGCTCCTTGAAGACCCCCTGGGATGGGGGCCTGGTTTTGGGGAGGTGTTTTTTTTTTGTTTTTTGTTTTTTTGAGGTGGCAGTCAGGGATCTTCTGCTGGCTTTGGGAGAAGGGACACCCCTTCACCTGTCACGGGTCCCAGTCTGCCTGCCGGGGCTGTTCCGCTGGGCTATTTCCTGTGAGGGCCTCTGGCCCAGGCCAGGAAGCAGAGGGTAAAGGCGGCTGGTCACCTAGTTCCTCTTCAGCTTCTAACTTTCTGGGGACCCGTCAGTGTGCAGAAGATCTCCCTGGCGACGATGGGGGGAGTACAGCAGCCATTCTGGGGAGAGGGAAGGTGGAAATACAAGTACGGAGTCGTGTTGCTTCCCTGAGGTTTAAATCCCCACCCACGGGGGTCTCCCTGGGTAGATGAGGCGTGGACTCAGGCGCTCCAGCTCCCTCCAGCTCCCAGGGCACGTGGGCTCAGGATTCCAGCGTGGTCTGACTGCAGGCACTTCGCAAGGTCTTTCCAGAGAGACTGCAAGACCTTTCCACAGAGTCTCTCTCTAATGTGGACCCTGGTTTCATCACCCCCAAGATAATGAGGGAAGGCAGGGCCCATGGACCCCTCTACCCCAGTATCCCTACTGTGCATGTGCTGCCTCCAGGTGAAGGAATTCAGCTCCTCCCACTACCAACCTCCAGGCCCTTCTATAGGGGGTGGGAGGGCTGGGGGAGGGGGAGGGGTGGCTGTCTGCAGAGGTGCTCTGGGGAGCAGGTGGGCAGGGGGCAGAGGGAAGAGACCGGTGCAGTCCTGGTGGATCAGAGCAGCTTCCTTGGAGGAGGGGGTGAGTGGGCAGCCACAGGGAGAAGCTTGAGGGACTCCAGACAGGAACTCGGGCAAAAGCCAAAGTTTAATTTTCTGAGAAGAGGAAGAAGCCCATTAAGCCGGAGCTTTACTGGCTGCAGCACCCACGACTCTGGGGCTGATGGCCCACCCTGCAGATGGGGACTCTGAGGCTCAGGGGGCTGAGCCCTTTTTCTGAGACCCCAGGGGGAGTGCCGAGACTGCTCAGGCTACCCCCTGGTCCCCTCTTGTCAGGCACCTGGCTCAGCCCAGCACTTCCTCAGAGGCTCCTTCAGCTGTCCAGGAAGCGTGTGGGCTTTGTCATTTCGCCATTTCACTTTTTGCCTTCTCTACTTATCCTTCTACCCCGTGTTCCTATGGAATCCCCCCCCCCACTTTTTTTTTTTCAGTCCACACACATTCCCGAGGGGCAGGGGGCTGGCTTCATGCTGCCCTTTGATAGGAACCACGTGGCAGAGCCAGAGCCCGGAGGAGCTCAGTCTTTGGAGGAGTCAGACAAGACTGTCCTCCAGGGGCTGAAGGAGGGGTGCCCAGGGCTGAGTGGTGCTCAGGGAGCAGCAGCTGCCTCTCAAGTGTGCGGGGTTGAGGGGGCTCTTGGGAGGTGCTGACATGTGACCTGGACCCTGAAGGGGTGTGAGTGGGATGTTGTGGGACAGCACCGTGACCTCTGGGATGGTCCTGTCTTTCTGGTGGAGATGACCATACGAGCAGAAGCCTTGAGGCCTGAGGCACAAGCAGCAGACTGGGTCGAGGGGATGCAGGCAAAGGGCCAGGTGAGGTGAGGAGCTGGCCCTGGGGCCTGCGGGTAGCTGGGAGCTGACAGTGGTCTGGGGTGGTCTTGCGGCAGGATTGGAGGCCAGGAAGTCACGAAGGCGCTTGCCCAGGGAAGCCACTGTGCTCTGGCTGTCTTCCCACTTCCCAATCTCTGGGCTAATTGAGGCCCAGGATGCCTGTGCGTCGGCCCCAGGGGAGTAGAAGCCTGTGTTTTGCCTCAGTGGGCAGCAAAGGCTGATCCCCCAGGAGAGGAGGTCTGGAGACTTCCCTGAGGAGAGGTGCAGAGCGAGGGAAGGTTGCTTTTGCTTCTTACATGGGGGAAGGGAGGTGCCCAGTGAGGAGGGCCAGGCAGGGGTCCTTGGCACTCAAGTCCAGTACAACAGCCCCCGGACTTGGCTTAATGCCTTCTTTCTGGCTGAGATAGGGTGTGAGCTGGCAACCCGAGCTCCAGGCTGGTGGAGGACCAGAGGCCAGCTAGCTGACCGTGGTGTGGCCTTTGCAGAGGTCTCTGTTGCCTGCCGCCCGCCGCCCGCTATCTGCAGCACCAGCTGGGCCGTGGGCCAGGAGGGGCTTCCTTCCCAGCTGGGCTCTTGCAGCTGTGGGCCCAGCTGTGGGGCCTTGCAGGCCCATGCCCGGCCTCTGGCTGCTGATCTCACAGTGTCGGGGCCGTGCTATAGGCCTGGCTTGATCTGGGGCCCTTCTTTTTCTCTTTGACTGCCAAGCTCCTGGAGTTTCTCTAAATATTATTCTTAAAGTATTTTGTTCCATCCTTTTTAAATGGGGCCTTGCGCTTCCAGACCCACTGTATCTTGGAGGATTTGGTGTTCCCCCACAGGGCCTCGTGTCCTGATGCCCTGGCTCGGGGGACATCCTAAAAAAGCTTTGGAGCCAGGCGGTGCTGGCTGGCCTTCGTGTGTAAGCCGATGCAATATGGGCTCGCTGGTTGTGAGAGAAGTTGTCGAGTTCTCTGCAGAGGGCTGGGAGGAGAGGGCCATATTGATATGGGCAGTGGGGACACATGGGCTTCGCCTGCAGTGGAGAAGAGGGGTGGCGGGGTGGGGTGGGGGAACTCTGAACCCCTTTGCTTGCTCCCCTTCCCAGGACACACAGCCGCTGGGACATATCCTTCCCAGCACCTACTTGCCGCCTGGTCCTGTACTGGGTGGGAGCGCAAGAGGCCTCAGGCTCGGTCCTGCCTCTCCTGATTCTCTTTCTTGAGGGCTTATTATACAGCATGTTCCCCACTGAGCACAGAACCGAGCTGGCATGGACGCATGCGGGGTTTCAGCTAGATGGCTGGTAGGCCTTTGTGAGTGGCTTCCAGAGCTCCGGTTTCATTCCTTCAGGGTTTTCGTTTCCACCAAGAAGGAACCCGGGTCTCTTCACCTAGGGTCTCTTCCAGCCTCTGAGCCAGGCCTGGTCACTGCCAGAAAGCAGAAAAGAGAGGAACAGGATTCAAGCTCGGCTCTGCAGCTTGAAGCAGTGGGGTCTGGGCGCGCCCCCTGCCTTGTGAGGCTCACGCTCCTCCTCTGTGCGTGCTGAGGCTTGGACCTGGACACGCTGGGCTGCTGGGGCAGCCTGACTATCCCGCTGACCGTGACAGTCTCCCGTGGCCAGGCTCACCCCAGGGGATGCACCCACCACTGTCCTCTCTGCTCACCCTGACACGAGGCCCAGTGGCAACTGATGTCCTCCCTGGAGAAAGCTTTTCCTGCCCGGAGCAGCTGGTGTTTATGGAAAGATGTGGAGGAGGAGGAAGAAGTGGGCAGTGGGCCTGGGAGGGAGGAGCCTCTCTCCCCACAGGCTGTGGGAGGGTGGGAGCAGCTCCGGAGTCTGCCCGGCCGGCTGAGGGAGGCTGGACCGTGCAGGGAGCCTTCAAAGCAGACTGCAGAGCATGCTGTGGGGTTGGGAAGGCCGGGCGGTCTCTGGCCAAGTGGTGGGCGGCTGGCCTGTGAGCTCTTGGGGATCATTCCAGCACATTCACATCTGGGTGCTGGACCTCTCTGCGCTTGGTCTGTACGGGGCAGAGAAGGCCAGGGAGAAGCGGGCCCCTCTGTGGGGGGCATAAAAGGGCAGGTGGAATTGAAGCTGGAGTTTTCTGGGGGAGGCAAGGCCTAGGTTTGGTGGGTGGGGACTTATGGGCAGGAGCAGCTGCTGGGGTGAAGGAAGAACTCTGCTTTGAGGTGAAGGGGTGAAGCTGCCGCAGAATGAGCTAGAAAGAACTCCTGAGATACCTACGAGGGGGTGAGGAAACGGAGCCCAGACAAAGGCGGGTCCCTGGCACCTGCTGCTATACCTGCTGCTCCATTGGCGACAAAGAGGCTTGTGAGCAGGGCAGGGGGCTCCTGAGTGTCTGGGCAGGAGGGTCAACGAAGGCGGCCCGGACCTGAGGCCCGAGCTGGCTGCAGGGTGGTGGGGTTCCTTGGCATTTCCGTCCTGCTCACCCTGCGCCTGTTTTAGCAGATAAAGCCTTTGCGTTTTTTTGCCTCCCTCCCCAGCCCTCTTCCTGAGCCCTTGCCAGGGCCTCAACAGTGCTGTTGTGGGGCAGTCACTAGGACTTAAGCAAAACTATTTGCATTGTTTTTGTTTGATGTGTGTGTGTGTGTGTGTGTGTGTGTGTGTGTGTGTGTGGTGGGGAGAGGGGAGCCCGCTCCTGTGATGGGGCCCCTGCTGCAAAGTGGAGGGGTCAGACCTTGCTCAAGGTCATGCCCTCAGACTGCACCCCGAGATGGCTGTCCAGATGTCTCCTTCCTTTTGTTACCCTCTTGACCACTGATATAATCAGTTGCACAAAGCCTGGGAGTTCCCTGTATTGTCAGCTCTGCGTCCAGACAAGGAAGTATCGATATATTTATAGAGAAAAGTCTGGCATGTTCTGTGTGAGGCCAGAGAAGGCCCTGCTGCCAGCAGCCAGGGATGGTGGCTCTGTACTCCTGACTTGGTCCTTGACCAAGCTCCACCTCTGTGAGAGCCTCACTTTCCCTAGCTGAGGGGCTGAGGAGCAGCAGGGAGCCTCTGGCTTTGCTCAGCAGCGCAGACTGAGCAGGGCCTGTGGCCAGAGAGTCCAGGGGCAGACCCCAGGAGGGGCTGCCTGTGGGGTCTTGCCAGCAGGCAGAGGGCAGATGCCAGGGCACCCCACACCCTCTCGGGGAATTTTTCCCGTAACATGTCCCCTATCTGTTTGGTCTCTGACTTGCCTCACGCTTCCAGAGCCCAGATCGCGTCCTGACATGGGCCACACCTGGACCAGACCTGTCCCTGGCCTCAGGTTCCCCATCTTTAATTGGGCATTATGATATCTGCTCTTTCCTCCCTTCTGCAGAAGTAGAAGGCGGGTCATTTTGCCCTGTTAGTGTCCAGATGTTTAGACCCCGGGGCTTGTGAGAGAGAACCCCAAGCCCTGTGCCCTTCCAGAACCCCACACCCCTGTCCTGTTGCTGGGCTCTAACTTGGCAGGAAGTGGCTCTCTAGAAGATTGTGCTACAGTGTCTTATTGGCAGGTGCCAAGCCTTAGATGTCAGCCTGTTGCCTGGACTTTGCCTCGGACCCCTTTAGTGGCAGCAGGGAAGGAGAGGGGACTTCCCCTGGGGATTGATGTGGTCTAGGCTGGCCATCCAGCCCACGGGCTCTCTGTTCAGAACTGTGGGGATAGAGGGCCTGGGGAGCAGCGATGGCCAGAGCTAGCACTGAGCTGTGAGTGAGCCCTGCCTCTGCTCCCCCGGAGTCCCCCAAGTTGGGGCTGACTCTGAAGCAGCGTCTGCTTCTCAGCCACAGTGAACCCCTGCTGCTATTACCCGTGCCAGAACCAGGGCATCTGTGTCCGCTTCGGTCTCGACAGCTACCGGTGTGACTGCACCCGCACTGGCTACTCCGGCCCCAACTGCACCATCCGTGAGCCAACCTCCAGCCCGTGTCCTGCCCACCTCTCCCCTGGGCTCCCCGGGACCCCCTTCCTGTCCTCGCCTCCAGCCGTGGCTCATTCTCACTCCTTTCCTGCCTCCCGCCTCTGACCTCCTCCCTGACCTGGCCCCTACCTAAGCTCATTCCTGACACCTCACTCCTTGCTTCCAGGCTCTGGGGTGAGTCACCCTGCCCAGCCTGGGCCTCCTTCCCCAGCCCTGTCCCCAGTCCTCACGTCTGGTTCTGCCTCTGTTGAGCACCATCATTTCTGAGGTCCCAGCCTGCCCCGGCCCCTTGTGCCACCGCCCTGTTCTGCCCTGGCCACATCCCCAGTCCCTGGCCCCCAGCCCGGTCACTTCTAGTCCTGCCAGGAGGGCCTGGCTAAGCAGCTCCCCTGTCCCTGCAGCTGAGCTCTGGACCTGGGTCCGGAATTCACTGCGGCCTAGCCCCTCTTTCCTGCATTTCCTGCTGACACACGGGCGCTGGTTCTGGGAGTTCATCAACGCCACCTTCATCCGGGACATGCTCATGCGGCTGGTGCTCACAGGTGGGTGGGGGACAGCACCCCTCTAGTCTGGGAGTGCGGAAATCCTGCCAGTTCTATCAGTTCCTGGCATCCAATAAGGGCAGTGGGCTGGGACCTCTATGATGCCAGATAAAACAAGTCCGAACCAAGGAGACTGGGAAGGGGTTTAAGGGGGCTGGGAACCCCTGATCATCATTATTTTTGCCCCCTACAGCACGTTCCAACCTTATCCCCAGCCCCCCCACCTACAACATAGCCCATGACTACATCAGCTGGGAGTCCTTCTCCAACGTGAGCTATTACACTCGTGTTCTGCCCTCTGTTCCCCAAGACTGCCCCACGCCCATGGGGACCAAAGGTAATGGAGATGGGGTGTGGGCCTGGGCTGGGGGGTGCCAGGGGAGAATCTTCCTCTGCGGGAAAAAGCAGGCAGAAGAGCAATTACAGACCCATTTTCAAACTGATAATCTATCTAGAACCAGGGTGAGGACAGGACTGGGGAGTGAGGACAGGAAAGTTTGGCGAAGGGTCTTACCTGAGGTCACCCAGACAGGCAGGGATCAGTTTTCTTATTTCCAGATGTCTCTTGGCCTGTATGGGAATCCTAGTGGTCTGCTGCATGAGAATCCTACTGGGAAGAGGGACCTAAAGATTGAGGTGTGGAAGGAAAGAAGGAATAGTGGCTGTTTATGGGTCTAACTGATTCTTTATCACTATAAATAGTTTTTCATGCTTCTCCTCTGTAGGTTACACAAATACAGATTTTTCTTCTCTGGTTACTCAAGAACCCAACTGGTCTCATTGGCAGTGGTCTTCCTGTGAAGGCCTTCTTCCTACTCCACTTCCGATTGTCCAAAAACTTGGGGGCGGGGAGATGTGTACTTAGTTGAGAGCCATGAAGTCAGCGGGTGCGGAGAGGGCAAGAAGCATTAGCACCTGCCATGGGTTCAATGCTGAACACTGACGCTGTGCAGCTCTCAGGCTGAGTCTTCTGCAGGTTCAGAACTTTGCTGATGTGTTGACGACCCTCCTTGAGCCTCGTTGGCATTACTCTGGGGGTCTGCACCCTCACATGTACTTACTGTTCTCAAAGCATGACCATTTTGCCAGGAGGGCTGGGTCTTGCAGAGCTTCAGGACTCTGCCAACATTTTGCTGGAACCAATCCTTGCTCATGTTCAGCCTGAGTGAGAAGCACAGGTCACTCCTTCCTAGTTCCTTCCTGGGCAGTTCCCGTTGGGATGTTTGATATCCTTGCCTGTCAGAGGAAATCAATTGGTGAAACCCAAAAAGGTTCTGTGATCTCGAACCTTGAACTTTGGACCTCCCATGAAGAACTGTGAAAGGACGTTTTTAACAGAAGACAAAAATCCAATTGCTCCCTTCCTGTGAAGGTCCTGGGGACCAGCTCTTAATTGACATCTTAATACTTATTGTCACAATGGCAGCTCCTTGCTTCAAGATGATAACTTGTCTTACCCCAGATACAGAAAGACTGGCACCATATAAAATAGGTTGGCAAATTCTAGCCCGTTGTGGGCTCCAAGTCATGTGCTGTTTTTATAAAGCTTTACTGCCCTGCTCATTGGCATATTATGACTGCTTTCTTGCTAGAAGACCAGAGTTGAGGAGCTACAACCCATGTTGGCAAAGTCTAGAGTACTGACAATCTGAAAAAAAATTGACTAGTTGGCCTTTTGCCCATGTTTTCTGATCTTTGATTTAAAAGATTCGGCTTCACCAGTTCTCTGTCCTATTTACATTAGCTCCTGTACCCCTCAAATCTGCTTCATAAAGTAAGGACCATCTGCCCTACTTTATAGATAAAGAAATTAGGGCTCAGGAAGGTGAAATGGCTTCTTGATGCTTACACAGTTAGTTAGTGCCTAGCCACTGTCAAACGCTGATTCCTTCCTCCAGGGCCAGGAAGTCCACATTCTCCAGCCCCTCTTCCTTCTCCTCCTCCTTTTTTCTTTCTGCTTACCATTTTCAAAGTTGCATATATACATAAATGTTGAGAAGAAAGTCCAATGAACTCATGTGTCCATCTCCTGGTTTCAAGACTTGTCCATGACTTACCAACCATATTTCATCTACCCCCTGGACTCGTTTTTTAATGGAGTGTTGGAAGGAAAACTCCATTGATGCCATTTTGCCATAAAAATGTCTAGGTTCTTTGCTAGAGAAGGTGCCAGGGGTCAGCTGGTGGGAGGGAGGTGGGTCTGGGGAGACTGCTCTGGGCATCCTGCTTTGACCATTTTGGTCTGGTGAGCCGGGAAGGCCCAGACAGGGCAACCACTGAGATTTCCCACTTCTCTGACCAGGGAAGAAGCAGTTGCCAGACGCCCAGCTTCTGGGTCAACGCTTCCTGCTCAGGAGGAAGTTCATACCTGACCCCCAAGGCACCAACCTCATGTTTGCTTTCTTTGCACAACACTTCACCCATCAGTTCTTCAAGACTTCTGGCAAAATGGGACCTGGCTTCACCAAGGCCTTGGGCCATGGGGTGAGCACCTCAGTGGGGCCCAGGACTACTCTGGACCTGCCTGGCACATGGAGATCATTGCTGGCGGGCAGGACTTGGTGATCGGAGTGGACCCTCCTTCTGTCCTCAGGTGGACCTCGGCCACATTTATGGAGACAGTCTGGATCGGCAGTATCAGTTGCGGCTCTTTAAGGATGGGAAGCTCAAGTACCAGGTAGCACTGGGTGTGGGGGAGGGCATTGGGGAGGGTTTCCTCTGTGTCCCCTGCAGAGCCAGGCGCTGTCCTGAGAGGGCCAAGAAGGAGGAGAGGAGTAAGCCCTGGGAGAACGTTCCAGACACGAGAAACAAAAAGCAGATGCACCTCTTGTATCCTCTTGGGAGATGGACTTTGGGGCTCAGCAGGAGATGGGTATTTGCAGGCTGCAGTCATTCACTTTATTATTCCACCATGTTGTGGGCACCGTGATGCACCTGGCACAAGCGGGGGTGTGGTGATCATGACAGTTACAGGTCCTGCCCCCAAGGAATGCACAGCCAGGTAGTGATCACAGACATGAGCTCCTCACTCGGGTTCCACAGGGACCATTTGCTGGGCATGTACCCACGAGAGCTATAGAATGTGAACCACAGAGAGTTAAGACTTTCTAGTGGCCATACTGCCAAAAAGGAGAAGGAAACAGGTGAAAGTGACTTTAACCATTTAGAGTATCTTTATACATTCATATATTAAATAATTTAAGATCTCTTTAATATAGCCAGAGTATTATTGTTTCAACATGTTCATCAATACAAAATTATCAATAATGTATTTCTTTATTTCAGTGCTAAATCTTAGAACTCTGGTTTAGCTTTTGCACTTACCATCTCAATTTGGATGCCCAATTTTCTATTTTTTAAAAAGATTTATTTATGTATGCATACAAGAACTGGGGTACAGGCCAGAGGTGTGAGAGGTGAGAGGATTCACCAGGGACAGAGTGGGGAACAGAACAGGCTGCTGTAGAGACAGGAGAGGTCTGCTGTGCCCTGTGGGTCAGTGATGGAGCTCATGTGGTAGAGGCAGTGGGTGGCTTCATAGTTCTGAGACTTAACCCCTTGCACACCAGGGAAGCCTGGTCAGATTTTTTTTTTAAGATTTATTTATTCATACAGAACTGGGGTACAGGCCAGAGATGCGGAGAGTGAGAGGATTCACCAGGAACAGAGTGGGGAGCAGAACAGGCAGATCAACGAAGTACACTGCTGAGGGGAGCAGCGGGCAGGTCAGGAGAGGTCTGCCTCTCCATGTGGATCTCCCCTAGGGCAAGCAGGGGTCGAACTCATGTGCAAGTGGCTTAAGCTTCTTAGTGCAGTGCTTTAACCCGCTGCGCCACCAGGGAGGGCCAGTGGTCAAATATTTTTATAGCATTTGTGAAAGTAAGACATCAATTTGCTTATTTGAGGTAACGCTGGTTCACAACACTGTAGATGGTTCAGTGGGCTAAGGTCACGCCTCCTCAACCTGTGGAGTGATGAAGGTTGCATAAAATTTACCTTCAAAGTGGAATCACTTCCCCCAGGCGCCCTGAGACCATGTGAAGTTTTTCAACAGCTGAAGTAATAAGGTTGAAAATTTAAGCCTCAGTTAAAGAAAATGAAAAATTCACTTGTCCACCCGGCCAAGCCGTAGTTCTAGGGTTCGGTAGCTCCACGCGAAGGCCAGCTACCACGGCGACCCACACATCTAAACAAAGGAAACCCCAAACTAACCCGGCTGGCTGGGGGTAGACTGGCTGGGGGTAAGCAGAGTCCTCAGCGTAAAGCAGGTCCTGTGCTCACCCAAAGGATGAAAGCGCTGCCTTCGCCTCGTTCGTGTGTGAGAAGGGCCAGCAGGGAGAAGCCACTGGAGCACTCAGAGGCTGGGGAGTAGGAGCGAGCCAAGAGCTGTGAGGGTGCGGAGGAGCAGAAGGCAAGTAGGTCAGCACAGGTACAGGTTTGTGGGGAGCGCTCGGAATGGGGTGCAGGAGGCCCTGTCTGTTAAGGATTTCTGATTTCTGCCACGAGCAGAGATAAGACTGGGATGGCGGCCCTTTCTGCTGGTGCAACGGGTTAAAGCGCAGCACTATGAAGCGACCGCAGCCACTGCAGCACGAGTTCAGTCCGGCCAGGGAGTGACCCACAGGGACCGCAGACCTCTCCTGTCTCCTCGCTGCTCCCCTCAGCAGTGTACCTCAGTCCATCCATCTGTTCTGCTCCCCGCTGTCTCTGGTGAATCCTCTCACTGCCCCTGCACCTCTGGCCTGAGCCCCAGTTCTGTATGCATAAATTAATAAATATTTAAAAAAAAAAAAAGACTGAGGATGGCTTAAGCCAGGGCATGATAGTGGATTTGGGTTTGGGGAAGGGTTTCTGTGACTGCTGTGTAGAGGATGGGGTACCAAGGGGCAGGAGGAGATGTAGGGGACCACTTAGGTGAAGAACCAGGCGGGAGGTACGGTGGGTCGCCAGAAGGCGGTGATAGTGAGGATGGGGAGGAAAGGCACATTTTAGTGGAGATGGCAGAGGAAACATTATCAGGCCTTGGGTGGGGAGGATGGGCTGGCCCGGGAGGTGCCAGCTGTGGCAGGTGTGGGTGTGCGGCCTGTATCCCGGTTGCCAGGTGGCCCCATTCCACAGATGCTGAAAGGAGAGATGTACCCGCCGTCCGTGGAAGAGGCGCCGGTGCTGATGCACTACCCGCGGAGCGTCCCGGCCCGGAGCCAGATGGCCGTGGGCCAGGAGGTGTTCGGGCTGCTCCCGGGGCTCATGCTGTACGCCACGCTCTGGCTGCGAGAGCACAACCGTGTGTGTGACCTGCTGAAAGCGGAGCACCCTACCTGGGAGGACGAACAACTCTTCCAGACGGCCCGCCTCATCCTCATTGGTGAGGGCAACCCGCCAGCCCGGCCCTGGAAGGTCACGCCCCGCCCCCTCCAGCCTCCCCCATCCTAGAGGCTGGGGACAGAGAGCTGGGGTCAGACTCTTAGGTTTCTCCTGATTCAGTCTGAGACCTCGAGCAGGCCCCTCCCCATCTGTGAGCCTCAGTTTCCAAATCTGGACACGGGGATAAGGATGGCTGTTAGGAAAAGGAGAGCGCTGGAGAGCAACAGGCACGTAGTGGGTCTTCAGGAGATGGGTGGCTGTGATGGCTGATTATTAGCCCAGCAAAGTTTGGCCAGCCCTTCTCCCGCTCCGCCTCCCCACAGGACTATGCCCAGAGGCACAGGGTCAAGCCCAGCTTGCCCAGCCTTCTGGAGTCCTCCTGCCTTCCTCTGCATGTGTCTGCCTTCCTGGAGTTTGGTAACTTCTAGGTGACTCAGGGACAGGATATTTTTGTGTCCCCTACGGGGGCGAGTCTGCAGCCCAAAATGTTAGATGGTTTCCTGCCTGGGAGTTTGGCCCTGGGCACCCCTGTCTGAGTCACCAGTGACCCCTTCTCCCACCTCTGGGCATCAGTGGCCAAGGCTGGCCCATTTATAGACTGGCTTATTGGATCCTGGAAGAACCGTGTGTCAGGCATAGGGGCAGCCTAAAAGAGAAGGGGTTGGTCCAGATTCCCAGCACTGCAGAGATCTTGATCAGAGAGGGCAAATGTGTGTCTGGGGGCTGCCCAGAGATCACGGGTGATGAAGTCGTGACCAAAGGCCTTATGGGCCAGATAGGTTCAGAGAGAATCAAGAATGTTCTCGAAGGCCACTCAGCAGAGGGGACTTGAATCATCCACATTCGTGCTATTTCTACCACATCCACTCTCCTGGGTGGGGAAGATCATAAGCCTGAGTCTGATCTTTTGGGACGTGTGAGTTTGGGGAGGGGCTGCACCCCTCACGCTACATGCAACCCTCCCCCCCCTCACTTCAGTGGATTTCACCAGGCCCTTGCCAAGCAACTTAGGTTCACTGTCTACTCCCCTTAGGGGCCCTGAGACTATCATTCTACTGATTCAATTTAATACACATTTTTTAGATAAGGAAAGTGAGGCTCAGTGAGATTAAGTAACATGGCTTAAGTTCACAGCAAAGCCAGGATTTAACCCAGTCTATTGATTGCAAATCTGATGGCTCTGGATCAACAGACTATAAATCAGTTTGTCTAACAACTAATTGGCCAAAATATCAGGTTCTCTCAACAGCTAGTTGATCAGTTTTCATTTTGCTATGGAATGTTCCATTTGTTGGCTCTTTGCTTTGCGGCACATTATTGAAGGGATAGAGGAAAAATCTATTTGTAAGAATTCTGATTCATAAGAACTCTGATATTTTGTAAAGAATCCACTAGGGGCACACCTCACTCTTTGCCCAGGATATCCTTCAGCTGCTGACAGCGGCTCTCAGAGGAGTCTCTTTGCAGCCTTCTCTCCCTCTGAGGGTGAGAGCACTTTCAGTGGGTGCTAATCTCCACTTTCACATCTTTAGTGGCTTCTTCAACATTTTAGTGGGCTGTGGGAGGCAGGTCACTCAAGGGTCATGAAACCCATTCTGGATATTTCCTCTGCACACCCTGCCTAGCCAGGCCTTCAGAAAAATGGGAGTAGCAGATGTCTCTTGTCTTAGAATAGCAGTGCAACCTCAAACAGAAAGTTCCATTTACACAACCCATTACAGAAAGACAAAGAGAATGGGGTCAAATAAAACAAAGCAACCATGACAATAATAAAGAAGCAAAAGCATCAGCTCTAGTGGAAGACTGTGTGGCATTTCCTCAAAAGACTGAAAATGGATTTGCCACATGGTGCATCAATTCTAACTCCTAGGAATCAATCGACCCTCAAACATAAAAACACTAATCTGAAAGGAAACCTGCACTCCTATGTTTATTGCACCACTATTTACAATAGTCAAGCTTTGGAAAAATGAATGCCACAAAACAGTTGAATGGCTCAAGAAGATGTGGTGCATATACACAATGGAATACTATTCAGCCACTAAAAAGATAAACGCATCTAATTTGCAGCAACAAGGATAGAGATGGAAAGGGTTTTGCAAAGTGAGATAAATCAGAAAGTGATGGTGTTATTTTTATGTAGAATATAGGGAAAAACAAACCAGGGCCAAACAAAGACCAACTTTAAAACCAATCCTTGAAAATTTACCATAGATCTGAGCCATCTGATAAGGGAGGGCATCGGAGGGGGGATGAGCAGGGTGAGAGAGCACTAGGGAGGACGGCTGTGGGTGCTTTGGTGGTGGGAGAAATACAGTGACACCTAAGAAATCCTATACTGTGAAAATATTAATAAATATGTAAAGAAACGTTATGTCATTAGTACATAGTTTAAAAAGCGAGTGCTTTGCACAACCTGGCCTGCCTCCCGAGCTGGGTGGTGGCTCAGCACGCCTTGCTGATTTCTGATCCTCCCTGCCAGGGGAGACCATCAAGATAGTGATCGAGGAGTACGTGCAGCAGCTCAGTGGCTACTTCCTGCAGCTGAAATTTGACCCGGAACTGCTGTTCAGTGCCCAGTTCCAGTACCGCAACCGCATCGCCATGGAGTTCAACCAGCTCTACCACTGGCACCCACTCATGCCCACCTCCTTCCAGGTGGGCCCCCAAGAGTACACCTATGAGCAGTTCTTGTTCAACACCTCCATGCTGGTGGACTACGGTGTCGAGCCCCTGGTGGAGGCCTTCTCTCGCCAGAGTGCTGGCCGGGTAAGCCTTGGGGGGGGGGCGTTGGTGAGGGCAGGTGGGCTCTGGGGGTCCAACAGATCAGGGTCCAAATTCCAGTTCTTTCCTGCCCCTCTCACCGGGCATTTGTAAGCATTCCTTCCTTCCTCTGTTCTGTTCTTGTTGTTTTGCTCATTCAACAGTCCCAGTCCTGATCCCCCACACTGGGAATGGAGCAATGAGCGAGACCTCTGTGGTGCTTCTTGTGCTTTGATTCTGGAAGGGAGCAGTAATCATGTGAGCGTAACTTCATTCGAGCACAGTCTGGGTGTTAGCACTGGGCCTTATCAGAATTAAAAGTGCATGTTAAAAACCATAGGCGCTCAAGGAGGGGCTTCTGACCAGAGCTGGCAGCTATGGGTAAGGAAGTGATGTCTGATCTGAAGGACGACTCAGGAAAGAGGTGGTGTGAATGGCCAGGGATGGTCACGGTTCAGATGGAGGGGAGATGGCAGAGGCTTGGAGGTCATGGGGCACGCACAGCCGTCTGAGGGCCAGGAAGTCATCAGGGTATATAATACATGTGAGGGGGCCTACACACGGTGGGTCTTTCCTACCTCAGAGACCTCCGTCATGGGTTGAATAGTCTTCCCCTCACCTTTTCCCTTCAGATGTGATTGTTCTTGGAGATAGCTCTCTGGCTCCTTTACCTGCTGGGATCCTTGTCCCTGGGCCTGGGCATAAAGGGCATGCCCGCCCCTCCCAGTGCTTCCTCGCGGTGGTTTCAACTTGGTTGAAACAAGCATGTGCTGAATCTGGTGGGCCGCTGCTGGCTGGTTCTTGGCCTCTGTTCACTGTGGGCACACAGGCACGCAGGGAGGTAATGGCTTTGCTCTGGGGCTGTACGGTTTCCAAAGTATGTTCAAGGCATTATTACCATGATGTGTGGGAAAAACCTGGGTGTTGAATTTGGCACAGAGAATGGCAACAAAGGGATGAGGAAAAAAAGTCAAAGGAAAAGACAACTCTCAGGATAGTGAAGAGAGAGTGAGAAGCCATGAAAGAAACAGGATTCCCCCCATGACCGTGACAGAGGGCAGCTCTCTTGGGGGATCCATGTAGCCCCCAAGAAAAACTTTGCTTTGCTTACTTGAGCTTGCTCATTTCACCAGAACCTTACCCAGGGAGGTTGGGTGGTCTGTTGTCCCTGTATTTCCCCAGGACACCACCTCATGGCTCAAGTGATTGCCTGAGGTTCCTGGATTCCTAGGGCTGCAGAGTGGGCGATCTTAACAGCAGAAATTTATTCTTTTCCATTCTGGAGGCCAGAAGTCTAAAATCTGGGCCCTGCTGTCTCTCAGGCTCCAGGGGGAAAATCTGCCCCAGGCCTTCCTTTCTCTTACTTAGTGACTTCTGGCTGCTGACACACTTTGGTGCGCTGCCTTGTAGAAACATCACCCCAACATGGTGTTCCCCAAGGCAGCTCTGTTTTCTCTCTTTGTTGATACACCAGTCATGGGACTAGTGCCCACCTGAATGGAATATGACCTCATTTTAACTTCTTTATACCCACATATGCTCACATTCTCAGGTGTTGGGAATTAGGAGTTCAACATGTCTTTTTGGGGGCAAGTCAACCTACAACAACCTACAACCTACAACAGAGCTGAGATGGCTACTAGCCTCTGCTAGTTTTGCTCTAAGGCATGCTTTCACTCAGCAAGGCTTGTCCTCTTTCCTGCCCAGTTACACTTCTTCTGTCTACACAGATAGAAATAACCCCTCTGTATGATGTAATGTGAGTTTACAACACTGTGCAGGTTTCAGGGTTCTCACCTCAGCAAAGGAACTGTATAATTCATGGCACACTGCCTTCAAATGTCCAAGCACCACCCACGCCAAGCTCCAACTTCTCCCTCTCCTTCCCCTCTAATAACTGCTATTTTGTTCTCAGGGTTTGGTTTTGTTGTGCTGTTTGGTGGTTTTTGCTTTTCTTTAAATTCCACAAGTGAATAAAATGATGCAGTATTTGTCTTTTTCCTTATAACTTCTTTCACTTAGAGCAATCCCCTGAGGGCCCTTCCATGTATTGCAAATGGCACAAATTCATCTTTTTAATGGCCGAGTAGTATTCTGTTGTGTATATATTCCATGTCTTCTTAATCTCCTCACAATCATCTAGCACTTAGATTGTTTCGAACTGTTGGCTCTTATAAATTGTGCTGTAGTGAACATGGAGGAGACTCGTGTATCTTTTTGAATTAGTGTTTCCATGGCAAAAACTCTTCCTTAAATATTCACATTATCCATCTTGAGTAATAGAGCTTTTTTGAGGCCAATGCTCCTGAACTGTTATGAAACAGAATTTTCTTCTGGAGCCATCTTTTCCTTACCAAGTTACCTGGGCTTTAACCCTTATTTTCCCTCCCTTCATAGGATATTAAAGTACTCCTTAGTCTTGGAGTTAAAGTTCAGGTTTGGTTCAGCTAAATTTGTGTGTGTGTGTATATCATGGCTTTTGCTGGGAAGGGTTTAGCCTGCTTCCTGCTAGCTTGTGATCATCCCTCTTCCAGAAGGCCTGGCAGAAGCGGGAAGAAAGAACAGATATGAAAGGCTTTATTTGGCCTAAATGGAATATGATACTTTGCATTCCTACTGTCTCACTCTGAATTTCTCTTTTCTATGGTGACTAGTTCCTAGAGGTTCAGTTTTCAAAATCAGATGTTCCGTAAATGTTGAAACTTAACATTGTGGGCTAAGGAACAAAAAGCCATAAAAATAGTTTCCTCAGCAAAATCCTTGAAATGATTAAACATCTCTGTCCTGATCTGGAGAATGACAAACACATGCCAGCTTTCCTAAGATAATCTACAAAATATCTTAGGAAAGCCATGAAGTTCTATCCCCCAAACCAGTATTTTTCTGTCCTTCTGTTTCCATTGCCTAATAGCTCAGAAACCTTTCTGCACGCCACCCTGCCCCCCGCCAATTGCACTTCCAGAGCTGGGGTGCCCATTCCCCACCCCTGCTTCAGCTCTGGGTTGTGGCCATGCTGGAGGCCTCCTCTTCAGAGTCCTCATCACTGAACTTAGTAGTTCCAGAATCTTCCTTAATTCGATGTTGGGGGCTTTCAGTTAAATTTGAAGGGTTGGGGAAGAGTGTGACATGGCGAGTCCCTGGGGTGGTCCTCCTGGCCCACACTACACTTAAAGATGAGGAAACTGAGACTGAGAGGGGGCCTGAGGGGAAGCCTCCTCATGGCAGAGGCAGGGCCAGGTCCCCAGAGTGGTGGCCGCTGGGCTGAGCCCTGCTCTTGCTCCAAGCCCAGGAAGGACAGTGGCCCCGAAGTTCTTTTCCCAAGTGTCCTGGCTTTCCAACCACAGCTGTGTTTGTCTCCCGGCAGATTGGTGGGGGAAGGAATATAGACCCCCACGTCCTGCACGTGGCTGTGGAAGTCATCAAGGAGTCGCGAGAGCTGAGGCTGCAGCCGTTCAATGAGTACCGCAAGCGGTTTGGCATGAAGCCCTACACCTCCTTCCAGGAGCTCACAGGTGAGCACCTGCCTCTGGCCACAGTGTCTGCCCTTGAGGGATTTGCCATGAAGTGAGGGAGATATCCAGGAGACAGAATGGGCCAAAGCCTGGGGTGGGGTAGTATTGTGCCTGGTGGTGAGGGTGACAAGTGGAAACAGGGGTGGAGAGGGCTTGCAAAAGGGCCAAAAGGTGGGAGGCCAGGTGGTGAATGGAACAGCCACCCACGTGCTGGGGCTGAGGCCAGAGCGTACCAAAACACCCTGAAAGGCCAAAAGGCCAAAAACAAAAACCGAGGACTATGGCAGTACAACACCCTACACTAGGGGCTTATGGGCTATAGCCTCACAAGGACAGCTCCCAGTAAGAGGACAGGTCACTGCTGGTGGGTTCTCGCCATGCACACAATTGCAAGAGACCTCAGGTTCCTGGAGCAACCACCGTGGCATTTGTTTTACCAACAAGGGAAACAAAGAGCTCACTGAATCCACAAGTGACCAGCTATCTCACCCAGGCAGCATCCATGATGGTCAACACCAGTCACTAGGCGTGCTGGACAGCACTGGCTAGTAGTGATGGTCATTACTGGGTCTCTCAGAGACACCTGGCATTACCAGCTCTCTGAGGTTTTGGGTGACACCAGGAACAAACAGCTTTTTGAGACACCAGGCCCCAGGGCCTTTGGTGTTCCTTACAGGCAACATCAGAGACAGAATCAGAGGCCCAGTCTCTGGTTCTCTTCTCTTACCTCCTCAGAGCTTGGCTTCTGGATGCTTCTTTTCTTCTTTCTTCAGAGGCCAGGACCAGAGTCTTCCCCCTTCTTTCTTCTTACTTTGGAGGCTGGTGTCCTCTTTTGGGGGGCTGGGGTTATCATCTGCCCCTCAGCACCCTTCGACCCTAGCCTATATTCTCTTTCAGGGTGCCCCACCCACAAGTCTGGTTAGACCATTTTTCAGTGTGGTGTCTGACTGGACCATTTACCAATCAGCCCACACCACCTGATGTGTCCATTCCACAGTCCTGGAAGTTCGCTTCACATGAAAAGGCCTCTGAGGCCAACAGACACCACTGGCTTGTGGTGAGAGGTGGGGTAACAAAGGTCTGATTGGACCATTTAGCACCAGTTAACTCACAGCAAGCACCTGACTGATCTATTCCACAATCTATGAAGTACACGGTTCACGGTTACATAAAAGGTCTCTAAGGGGCAGTTGCCACAACTGACTTGTGGTAAAGCAGCAGGTTGAAAAAACCAGCTATTGCTCCTGCCAGCTCTCACCGCGAGGCAGCTGGGTTCCCCCCTGCCAGGCCAGAAAAGGTGGCTTCTCAGTTGGGTTTGAAGGCTAATGGGAATGTCCATGGGGAGAATAGAGAGAAGAACATTTCAGGTAGAGGAACAGAAAATAGCGAGGCACAGAGGTCATAAAGAGTGATTTTGGGGCATGTGTACAATTGTTCAATTTGCTCTTTTGAACACTCTTCCTCTCTCCCAAGAAATGGTAGGTCTAGAACTTTCTTTTCCTAGATGACCCGAATGGCATCATGGCACTGACTCGAGCTCCTTCCCATTGTAGGAGAGAAGGAGATGGCAGCTGAGTTGCAGGATCTCTATGGAGACATCGACGCCTTGGAGTTCTACCCGGGGCTGCTTCTTGAGAAGTGCCATCCAAACTCCATTTTTGGAGAGAGTATGATAGAAATTGGGGCTCCCTTTTCCCTCAAGGGACTCCTAGGGAATCCCATCTGTTCTCCGGAGTACTGGAAGCCAAGCACATTTGGTGGGGAGGCGGGCTTCAACATTGTCAAGACGGCCACCCTGAAGAAGCTGGTCTGTCTCAACACCAAGACTTGTCCCTACGTTTCCTTCCGAACACCCAACCCCCACCAGGATGAGAGGTCTGGTGTGGAGCGGCCACCCACAGAACTCTGAGGGCAGCATTCCAGAATGCTGACGCCAGGGTTGACAGCCTTAAAGGTTAGGTTTCTAGTCTGGAGTTGGTCAACATTTAGAGCGTCTCTTACCCATTATGTGGAGTACTGTGGTCTTGTCATTCTAGCTTGTTGGATTCCTGGGCAACCCTCCAGAATATTAGGGGTCGTTCTTACTTGGCATGTTTGAAGGCTCTTCTGTTGAACTTACATAAAAGCCACCTTGGTGGACCACTGAGAATGTCCTATTTGCAATTGATTTTTGGAGTCAAACAGTCTAGAGTGTGGATGAAATAATGTAGAAGGTCATCAAGGGCATTCTTATTTGTTATTCTGATATCGGGTTGGTCCTTCAGAATGTGGACTGCATGATGGCAATTCGGAATGTTGTGGTCCTGGATGTTGATCCAGAACATTGGCTGGTATGCCAGATCAGTCTCCATCTGCATGTTTATAATGTTGAGTCTATTCATATTGCCATTTAAGGGAATCAAACCTCTAACAAGACTGCAGTGCCTGAATCTGTGCCTGCACTGAGGTGAGGGGTTCTTTTTGGGGCTGCAGCTTAGACACTGGTCTGAGGATACAGAGAATAGGCACACTTTTTCACCTGTTCCACCAGAGCGCTGTCCCCATCCACATCTCAGTTCATGGCAGCTGTTTCTCATGAAGCTAATGAATTCATTCTCCAAATTGCCTGCTGTGTATCTTTTTTGGTCCCATCTCCAGCAGCTGAGGCGATGCCGGCATGGCCTTTCTGCTTACTACATGCTGGATGTGCTAGAGGTTGCAGCTGGAGACTTGGAAATGCTTCCCCGGGATCCCCAGGTGCAGCATCACGTCAATCACTCCTCACTGATGCCTCCTCCTCCCCACCCCCACCCAGGTTAGGCTCTGCCTTTTCTAAGCTGCTCTCCTAAGACACTCAACTCCCCAAACCCAGGAGCTATAGCATTCAGGCAGTCAGCTGACATGCCCCCCGCCCCCCCAAGTTCCGGAGCCATCTTGGGACTCATGTCTGACTCTTTCTCCCATTCCACTTCCTCTTGGATTCAATTCCAGGTCTGACCTAGCCTGTCTGGCTCAGGGTCAAAGCCAGGAGGTGCGGTGTAGTGTCTTCCTCTTCCTTACTGCTATTCAGTCATTAGAGCTTATTTTCCTAATTGCTTACTCCATGCTGGTAATGGTTACCGGCATGGGGCTACAGCAGTGAGTGATGAAAACAAGACACCTGCCTGTTTGGAGCACACATTCTAGGGAGCGAGAGCAGACACCGAACAGCACAGTGAGATCAGAGCAGTGCATGGTGAGTGCGACAACCCTCCTAATTTAATGTGCTCCGTACACTGCTCCCTGCCCACCCCCCCCGCCTGATTCCCAGAACTGAGACCTTTCCCTAGCCACGGAGACCTCCACAGTAGGCAAAGACAGAAGAGAGACCAGAAGGGTAAGGTGAGAGGTCGGCGGCTTAGAGGTCTTTAGGAAGAACAATGGGGAAAATTGGGACCCAGGTGAGGGGCTTTGGGGCCAGGCCTCCTGTCTTAAGACCTTGTTTCTCTGTAGACTGGGGGCTGTTGCCACCTCCTCTCCTGGCCCAGCAGAGTGCAGCAGGGCCAAGAGGAGTTTGCACTGAGGTGGAGGGTTCTTTAACATCATTTTGAAAGTGGGCCTGGAGTGGCTGTGTCCTGTCCTTGTCACCTAATATCCACCTCCTTTCATCTGTTGCCACCCCTACTTTGCCCTCATTTATGGCAATCTCAGTGTCCACCTGGGAGCCTATCCTGGCCAAGAGTGACCTATGAATCAGCTTCAGTCAATCGGACACCTTCTCCTGATAGAGAAATTAGCTATATCAGACTAAAAAGGTTTTGCACAGTGAAACTACTGAGTGGGAGAAAATATTTGTACTTCATCCATCCAACAAGGAGCTAGTTAATATCCAACATTCTGTGCCTTTGTCTTGTTTCATTATCTTCCACGTAAGAGTGAAGTCATCCAAGACCATCATCACTCAAGACAAGAAAACAGATAGCCCAATTCAAACTTGGGCAGGAGAGCTTTGTAAGCCCGACTCCAAAGAAGACACACAGAAGGTCAACAGGCACATAAAAAAATGCTTATCATCGGGCAAAACACGATATGACATATACCTCAGTAACATCTTTAAAGATACAGAACTCAGCGCAACGATAGTGAAGGGAAGGATAAGCAGCTGGGACTACACCAAGTTACAGAGCTTCTGTACAGCAAAAGAGACATTACAAAAAATAGACATCCCACTGATGGGGAAAAAATTTTCTCACATAATACTAGCGATAAAGGACAGATCACAGAGATATACAAAGAACTGATGAAACTCAACAAAAATAAACAACCCCATCAAAAAAATGGCACAAGAGCTAAAAAGACACTTCTCCAAAGAGGAAATGCAGATGGCCAACAAGCATATGAACAAATGTTCAACATCACTTGTAATAAGGGAGAGGCAAATTAAAACCACAGTGAGATACCACCTCACCCCAGTGAGAATGGCACATCTTCAAACAACTAGCAACGACAAATGTTGGCGAGGATGTGGAGAAAAAGGAACTCTCCTGCACTGCTGGTGGGAATGTAAACTAGTACAACCACTATGGAAAACTGGAGGTTTCTCAAACTGCTAAAAATGGAGCTTGCACATGACCTTTTAATCCCACTCCTTGGAGTCCATCCTGAGGAGGTGAAAACACTATTTCAAAGGACTATGTGAACTCATAGTTTACTGCAGCACTTTTTCCAATAGCCAAGTTTGGAAACAACCTATGTGCCCAAAACAGATGAATAAATTAAGAAGATGTGGTGTATACACAATATACACACAGTACAATGTGACTCAGCTACTAAAAACGAAATCTTTCCATTTGTGACAACTTGGATAGAACCAGTGGGGAGTGAAGTTAAGTCAGAAGGAGAAAGACATACTGGATGATTTCACTCATATGTGAAAGAGAATGAAACAAGACAAAGGCACAGAAAATCAAAACCAAAGTAAATCCTGTAAAGTTGATTGTAGAACTGAGGCTACCAGAGGGTGAGGGTGAAGGGAGGCAGACTTGGGGTGGGAGGTGGGGGAGGATGATGGATGGCTTTGGTGGTAGGCATGATATTATACATCTGCAAAGGTGTGAACCCCAGTTCACGCACAGTGTTGTAAACCATCGTTAACCTCAATAAAAAGAGTAGAATTTGGGCCCTCCGTGTGGCGCAGGGGTTAGGATGCAACACTGCAAGATGGCAGCAGCTGCTTCAGTGTGAGTTCGATCCCTGGCCCCGGAGGTGACCCACATGGCGCAGCAGACCTCTCCTGTCTCGCCCGCTGCTTCCCTCAGCAGTATATCTCAGTCAGTCTGCCCCACTCTGCCTCTGGTGAATCTCTCACCCCCTGCACCTCTGGCCTGTACCCCAGTCCTATATGCACAAATAAATCTTTTCTCAAAAAAAGAATAAAATTAAAATAGCTACTGGTCCTTGACTGGCTCGAATGCCTGGAAATGAGAGGCCTGGCTAATTCTTCTTTACAGAGGGCTCTGAAAATACTGTCCACTAGTTTTGTTTCCAAGATCAGGGATGATCACCAGAAAATTCCTGGCCTTCTCAAGACCTAGGCTTTCTGTTCATTGTGGGGCTGTACATGACCACTCGCCCTAAATTAATGAATTGATCATGCCTTTTGCAGCAACATGGATGGTGCTGGAAGGGATCATGTTTACTGAAATAAGCCAGAAAGAAAAAGAAAAATACCGGATGGTTTCACTCATAGCAGAAGCAAAAAGGAC